CAGTTTGGACCACGTTTTTTCTAACGGTCTAGTCTATTTTCCCTTCAAACACAAGATTCTATATCTAACGTAGCCCATTATTATTATACTGTACGGGAAGAGATTATAAAGTAGCTAGGGTCTCTTATATTGGGAATATGGAAATTGTATATTACCAATTACTAACTAACTGATTATATATTTCATTTTTGTTATGTGTTGTTAATTAACAAAACTCAAAATGTAGCGTATCATCAATACGTACGTGAAATCCATTCAAACTATACTTAACAATAATTTTGCACTAATGATGCTTAATGTACGTTTGGCCATACCTATCTCGTTGCAGATTGAGTAATGTATCATATTGCGCGAGTAGGGACATGTCGACCTATATAACTATGTAATTTAAAAAAAAAACGTTAGAAATATTCATTTTCCATTTAAAAGCCACAAAAACAAACTAAAATATGTTAAATGTAGTTAAATCATTCAAAAAAAATTGAGATTCTTACTCATTGGCAACTTCACTATAGCTGAAACATGAGGTAATAAAAGTTAAATTATAAGTATTTTGAGTAAAATTACATGTAATTTAGGAAAAGACAAGTCAAAATGAAAGGGATCAAGACACGTCAAGTTGAGGAGAGTACATATGCATGCCCCACCCCTGCCCACGTGGCGGGTCGGATCCATTCTAAAACAAGTCCAACAAGTCGGATAAAACAGATTAGGTCAAAATTGTCATCACTCGCCGTAATTACAATTTTTCGTACAAAATGGGTTATGACAATTGAGAGCCCCAAAAACTCATTGTTGATAATTAAGGCATATGCTTTATATGACTTGTACTTTAATTTTACTCATGCATGAAAGCATGCGAATATCCACACATCCACCCAAAGAGGCTATTAGGATGACAAAAATATCCATCAAGATGGTTAATCATCCGAACCCAACAGACTAATTCATTACTTAATGGTAAAACTCTAAATATTAGGGGTCGTTTGGAAGTTGCGATTGTTAAATAGATGTATTGTTGAGAATGCATGTATAGTATTATACATGTATTGTCGAATTTGATGCATTGTAGAATACAACGTTTGGTATGTGTGATTGTGTATGTCGCATCAGCTAAAAGCTGAGACAAAACAATCTCAACTCAACTATCTCAACAATCACAACGAAAAGTTGAGATATAACAATCACTCAAAATGAGTGATAGTTTCTGTCATATCACAGAAACAATCCATGTATTGTTTCTGCTAAAAAAACAAAAAAACGATGCATTATAAATACATGCATAAAGACAATCTCAACAAAACTATCGCAACTTCCAAACGACCCTTTAATAACAATGGATGGACATCATTTTAATATTATCCACCCCGAACTCACCGGATTTTAGATACAAATGTATAATTTTCGATAAATCTTCATATGCAGATTTATGGTCAGCTATAAAGTAAACAATAATCATACCAATCACCAATGGTGGGAACCATTGGTGGGAACCATTGTGCTGACTGGTGACCGTTGGAATAAAGTAAACTAAGCAGAAATGAGAGAGAAGAGCAATTGATTAATGGAAGATGTGATGAGAATAGCCGTCCAAGTAGCCAGGGAAGGGTCGGTTTTCAAGTCTTTTCTACTGTGTCTCTCCCTCGCACTGTACACTTCACAAGATATGGTTGGGGATACGATGCTCGCTTTGGAAACGAGGAAATTCGGTTTTCAAGTCTTTTCTACTGTGTCTCTCCCTCGCACTGTCCAGATCACAAGATATGGTTGGGGATACTATGCTCGCTTTGGAAATGAGGAAATGAGATATCTCCTTCTCTTGCACGCTGGAAATTTGCCAAGAGGAATTGTAATTGGTAACTCAGCTCCTCATGTTGCATTACCCAGATGTATGTAGGGCTGGAAGTTTGGTACCGGTATTTGGGATATACCGAATACCGTACCGAATTTATCTATATTTGGTATTACCGAATACACGTATTATTTTTTGGGATTGGGATTGGGATTGAATTTCAATTGTTATTCGGTATTAGGGATTAGGGGATTGGGATCGGGATATACCGAAATACCGATAAATACCGAAATATAAGCTAGTTTGTATTTTATCCTCTCAACTAGACTCTCTCATTTACTACTAAATGACCCTCAACCACCAAAAGTGTCATTTAATTATACACAGATCATTCCATCATTATTAATAGTCGTCTCTCAACCTCTAATTCGTCAAATTAAAGATTATCAATAACAAGAACTTGAGATGTCTCCTCTCCTCCACTCTCCATAATAATATCCTAATTCAAAACTCTTTCCTTAGTCTTTTTCCCGTAAATTAAACAATAAAATCTAATTTATATATTTAATTATTAATTGCAAAGGTAATTAATTTCGTATTTGATAATACCGATTGGGATACCGAGGTACCAATTGGGATACCGAAATATTTAGGGATTGGGATTGGGATACCGAAATTATTTAGACATTGGGATTGGGATTGACTTTAAAGTGTAATTCGGTATTTGGGATTTCGGTATTTGGTATTGGGATACCGATACCGTACCGATTTCCACCCCTACCCAGATGGAATCATGTGTTTGTATGGGCTGATGCCTGATTGTCCACCTAGTTCTTTATGAACTATTCTGGAGGTTCATAAAGTCCAGGACGTTGGCTAGTTTCTAATGAATCTAAGGGTTTGAACCGTGGTCATTTTTAATAATGACAAGAATCTTAACCAATCAAACCATATATTAGTTGTATCATTTTAAATAAAAAATATACATGAAGCTAACATTAAAAAATAACAGAACTTTTCAACGGTTAGCTAAGGTCACCAAATCTTCGCTCGGTACTTATTGGTGTTTTTACATTTTGATTTTCATATTTTATTCTTTTAATAATACTTAGATACTTAACTTAAATTTTTATTTATCTTATAATTTTCTATCTATCTTATAAGGTCACTAAAGTTCTATTTATCATTGGTTCAATATTACATATCGAATTGCAATATCGAATTTGTATAAGTGATGTTGAACTCTTACATTAGTATTACTTTATAGTACTGCCGTGAGACATCATTATCCATATCTTTCTGCAAACAATATGAGGATGGGTTCTTTAGACGTTTTATAGCTAGGCTAACCGTTAACTTCTAAACATCTTCCTAATCTGACAGACATGATTGGATTCAACAATCATTAAACGAGATTGAGTTTAATAAGTTGGTTTATTTCCTCTTTTTTATGTATTAAAATGAATTGTAGAGCAAGGACATGTCTACATATACACTCTGCATAATATATACTACTGGCATGATAAATTGTCGTCCAATTTCAAATTTCCTACAACGAGAGCAAAAGTATGAATGACATTTTTGTCTTCACCATTATTTATCTTCAAACACAAGTTTGTTGATGAAATTTTTATCAATAAAATTTATTTATGTAATAAAATTGGTATAAATTTTCATCATACTTTATGCATAGTATCTTAGCCATGATATCCGACCTATTGTTGAAAATTCTATATACTTGGTTTATGTACTCGATCAATATCAATCACTTCTCATTTAATGATTCTCAACTCTTACATAATACGATGTCGTTCCAACTAAGTATTGTATAAAATGGTGTAATGTGATACTTTTAGGATTTGAGTTGTGCGTCTACAACTATTATTTGGTTTGATTTTACTTTAACAAAATGTAAATACTGAATTGACTAATTTTGAAACCATGAAAATGAAATCACAACTATATCGTTGCTAAATTGGTTAACCATTCATGTAACCAAAGATGAAGATGTCTCATTTCTCTTTTTGACCGATAGACATGCTAGTATTCATAGATATAAAACCATGATTGCAATGTGTAAGCACAACCGATTTTATAACTAAAAGTCAATATGAAGACCAAGATTAAAGGACAACTTTTTTATAATCAATAAGTGGAATGTTGCTCATGCAATAGAATAAAATATGAGGTAGTACTATTTGATCTCCTAAGGTCCAAGGGTTATGAGTAAGCTATGTACATTTTTATGTATAAAGTTATAATCTAATTCTTCACCGTTTCATAACGTTTCAAGTCACATAAACTTTTAGAGTATTATAAAAACTAAATCATCATCAACACTCCAACCCATATCCTTTAACCATATAACTCAACTTAATTGGATTAGTCATAGTAAAATACCTCAATCTCTAAAACATTGAGTAATAAATTCCTTTAGGAGTGTGAGGTGTTTCCAAAGGCAGATAAATTCATTCAAGATTTCATGGAGGTTCAAGGCAAGGATCGTAATTAAGGAAAAAAATAGAGAACTGAAAAGAGCATTTAGGAGTGGGAGGTGCCGATAGGAAAAAAATACTATAGTCGTAGCTGGTTAGTATTGTCTTCCTTGAGGGAGGGAGGGAATGAAGTATATATGCAATGTACATGATGCCTTGGCGTAAGCCTCCATTTGAATAGTGCCCATTCATCGATATAGGAAACATATGTATGGTTAAGACTCAAATCTTGTTTGGTTTACATAAACTGATCTTAAATCGCAATACAAATTAATGATTTGAATGAAAAAGGTCCACTGCATTTTGTAAAGGGGTTATCTTGTCTTTAATTTTCGCATTTGAAATAACAAATAAAATAAAAGACTGCAATACCAATTAAGAAGGCTTGCAGACATTATAGAATATAACGACGGATGAAATAACGAGTTATCACGTACTTGTAAAAAAAGGACTATTTACAATCCATGTATAGCATTGGTGCCGATAGGATAGTTAATTAATCTTATTACGATACTAGTGATTTAAGTCTGGCTACTCCATTTCCAAGGATGACTACAACAATGATATTGCCCTCCACTAATTGTCATGTCGGGGGATTATTTTGGTAGATAATGAACATGGATGCATGCAATGGATTGTGGGAGAGAGAGATAGACTAGAATTGTGTAATAGGACAAACGAGCCACAACGAGCCAGCAGTAAACTAGTAAAGTACATTACTCAAGAATTTGTTTTGGTGACAAATTAAACACCAATGGTGTGCTTCCTCAAGCTCTCAATAATCGGAGCACCAATGGTTGGATTTGAGACGAAATGGCTACAAGAAGATGGCAAAATGAAAACTCCTTCAAAAATGCTCTTTCAAGCAACGCATTCCAAGCACAGAGCCTTCGGCTCAACTCATCATCAAAATGCAGGGGAACCATTCATACAATCATCATGCCCACTAACTCACACAACATAGCACATGAACATGGACTGCTGCTAATAAATTAAAAACCCCCAATCAACAAATTCTTATTTCCTCTTCCTCCCAAATTAGACCTAACAAAATGACAAACTGCTGCTATCCCAAAAATTTAGCATCCTAGTTTGCCCCAACCCAACCCTGAACACTAACCCTCCAAAGGAAAGGAAAAACACTACAAGACCAAAGTAAAGGATAAAGAATATTATCAGAAGAGTCTTGCCTCAACATCCCCCTTCCCCAACTCTAAACACCTGCAGATTCATTCATATATATATATATATATACAAGCTTTCCAGCCGCGCCTCAATCTCTCGTCTCACTCTCTCTGTGTTTAAGTATGTACAAAACCCTACCCCCAAAACACTCTGCCACCAAAGCTGCAGGCTTTCTCATTGCTGGTGCCATGACCTCAATTAGGGCCTCCCCATAGGATCAAGAAACCCAAAATTACTACCATTACCACTATCATTACTAATACGATTATGCCCCAGATTCATCCACCCTGTAGCTTCATCTGGCATCACCATGGAGGACCCAACTGGGTCGCTGCCACGCCCAGAGGAGAAGTAGTCATGTTCATGCACAACGCCACCCACCTGCGGCAATGTGATATTGCCACCAAGCCGAGGAAGACCACCAAATCCACCCCCAACGATACCGTAGTTCCTTGGTGTCATCAGTTGCCCACTGGAAACCGGCATTGAATCAAGAGGATAACTTGGCGGTAACTGATTGCAGTGCGGTAGAACACTATACAGAGTCTGATCCACTGTAGTTCCCCCAATGCTCTGGCTCGGAACATTACTAGTGGCACTACCACTACTACCATCATAACCATTCCAACCTCCACCACGGAGTTGATGCTGCTCGCCATGATGAAACCAGTTCTGACCCAATAACAAATCTCCATTAAGACTTGGTGGTGGGAACCGGGATGGCGGGCGGGTAACAGCAAGGCTCGGGTTCCAGTCTTGAAGATTGACATGTGTCTGCCTTGGGATTATGTACCCACCATTGCTAACTGGTGAGTAAACATCTTGAGACAAGTTGTGTCTTATGTAATCCTCCGTGTGTTGTCTCTTTTGACCCTGCCCGAGCAGGATAGAAGGCTGAAGATGTCCATGAATGTGTACATTTTTAAACTGCCCACCTTCCACTAAGACATCACTCTGAGGCTGGAAATCCAAAGCTTCCAGCTTTTGTTCCTCCCTAATGAAGGGTAATGTTGTCTCCTGCCCCTTGAACAGCGACTGAAGTAGACCGCTTCTGTCAGGTTCCGGGCGAGTACCGAATGGGACTCCATCAGACTGTCTTCGGGACAAATCTCCCCTGGTATCTTCATGGACATGAGATCCCAAATCGATCAACTGGGTGTGCTGCTCTTCACCATCTTGATGTGGGTGTATCAAGGAGGATGTAGATACGAAATCCTGATCATGGGTGTAGTTTGAAGTGGAGTCATAATAAGACTGCACCGGCATGCTGACAGCCGACCAAACATCCTCACCAGAGGATATAGGAACTCCATGACCAATTATGTCCTCTGCCACAGAGTTATTATTTACTTTGGAGACTCCACCATCATGAGTTTCTGAAACATCATCTACTGTATCAACACCATGTGCACTCAATGAAGAGATATGCGGTGGTGGTGGCTGATACTGGAGCGAGCCAGAACTTCTTGCTTCTTCAACATCTTCTGGATTGGACCCCAGACTTCTTACTTCTTCATCACTTTGATCCGGGAACACACCATTCTGCTTAGTATGATCCAGAAGTATTGCTTCATCATCTTCTGGATTCGACTCCAAGCTGCCTGCTTCTTCATCACTATGATCCTGAAAAGCATCATTCTGCTCATTCTGATCCAGAAGCATTGCCTCGCAATCATTTCGATCATTAACCATGACCTCATCATCGTCTGTCTCCTTATCCATGTTACCCATCTGCAAACCAAGTTCAAGGTAAAACAATGAGAAAGTATGCTCGTACGAGAGAGAATTAATAGATGGAGATGAGTGTAGTGAATAAATGAGAAAAAGAACCCTGAGCAGACCTCCACATCTGATTCTTCTTCTCTTTCCTCTCCACTACTATGCTCATTGATGTCCTCTTTCTCCTCGTCCTACAAAAGCGCCCACCGAAAGACAAACAATTGATTACATAACATAATTGAGACGAGAGATGGAGATTCCAATCTGCAAGCACAAGGTGAAAATTGGAAAACAGGTAAGAGCGATGTGTAGATAACCTCCACGAGATGGCCATTTAAGTCATTAACCCAGTAAGGTGAAGAAACACTTGGTTGTGGTTGGCGTTGCTTATGTCTTTCTTCTTCTTCTTCTTCTTCTTCTTTGTCATCATCTTCATTTGCACCTTCATTCTCATCATCATATTCCTCTTCCTGTTCCCGTTCTTGTTCTAGTTCCTCTTCATCATAGTCTTCTCCTTCTCGGTCTTGTTCTTCAACTTCTTCATTTTCCACTTCTACTTCACATTGTAGTTTCAGATCTCGCCCTAAAGACCTAATCATCTCTTGTCTCTGAGACTGTCTCGCTCTCCAGTTCACATACATTGCAGGAAAATCTTTGACGGCCAATTGGTGCCTACATAAGAGAAAACTTATTCTTACACATGAGAATCATTACAGACCTATCCACAATATAAGGGTTCTGTTGGTGGTACTAACCAATGCTCACGCAACTTCTTCTCTTCCTCTTTTACAAACTCTTCAAATGGTTGTACATCCAGCATATCAAGGTTACCCAACACACGACTAAGAGATTCAGACTGAATGCTTTTGCCAGATTGCTTCATGCTCTTCACTAGTTGGTGCTGCTTCTTGCTTATCTGGAATTTCACAGGAGTAAGCACTAGATTGTCAATGTGAATTGCCAAAAGTATCAATATTGGCTATACGTGTCTTTAGTATTACAGCATAAGAACTCAGTTGATGAATATAAAACTGGAGTGGACATTCACAAAATCACATATATAAACATCATTTAAGACATAGAGAAGATGTCAACCTTTAGGTAGGACATATATTGAGCACCATCAGTGTGTTGAATATTGTGCTTCTGCAGCTTATCTACCTTCCCCGATTTTGCACCATGCAAAGCAGCTGATGGCTTTATGTCATTCCCCTTCGAGGAGCCTTTCTCATAAGGTCTGAAACAAAATCAATGAGCAATAAAATCTTTCATTCCATATTTAATAATTAATATTCTGGAACGGCAGAAGAAGCTGAAGCTAGTATTCCAAGGATGGCAATGGAGAGCTATTGGTGGTTTTGGAGAGTTATAGAAAGAATATAGATATTCGAATTAGAAAGCAAGTCATCTAATGAGCACTAAAGATAACCAGATACAAAATACTAAAGCAATGAACAAATTACAAGTACATACATCTCATTCCTACGTGATATATAAGTACCTTTCACGATGCTTTGCTCCCTTCACAGAGGAATTTTGATTGTCACTGCTACAGCCTTTCTCTTCCGCCAGCAAGGAACAAGATTCAGATGTTGCCACCTTTTCTTCACTCTCTAAAACTCTATGCTCATATCCAAGTGAGGACGCCGGTCTCTCCGCATCCCTTCGCAACCCATTTGAAAGTCCAATTACTCCAAATAATCAATAACTAGATAACAATTTAACTCTGGAAGTAGCTCTTAATTTTCAGGCAATTGATATATTTTGCTGAACAATCCATGGATAACTAACACCAAGTAAATTCGAGTTATTGAGCCTATAAAAAAACTGCTCAGACAAAAAACATAAGACATTCAAGAAAGAAGAAGTACAAGTGCATGACAATTGACAAGGGATTCCTAAATATTAGGTAATGCTAACAAGTCACATTCTTAGTATTGCCAAAGGAACAGGTTATGAATAGTAGTGTGTGGCATACAAACTAGCGCTCTGTTTGGCAACGAGGGGGGTGCAAATTCGAGGGGGTACAAATTGAGGTGCAAGTTCTAGGGGGGAACAAATTGAAAGAAAGTGCAAATTTAGGTGCAAATTGTTGTTTGGTAAAAACAGTAAGAGGGTGCAAATTTTTATAAAAATAATTTCAATTAAAAAACTACATAAAAAATCTACATCACACCCAACTTGGCCCCACCTTCTCTCCCATTTCTCATCTCTTTCCTTCCCCTCAGCCGCACAACTTCCTCCTCTCAGGCCCCACCTCCATTTTTCTTTTTTTCCTTCTCCCTTCTCTCTCCCTTGCACCTCAAATCGGAGGGCACACCAAAACAGTAGAAAAACCCCCAACTTGCTCCCCCCTCCTACTGTTGGAATTTAACCAAACAAGTGCAAATTCATTGGAAACACCATTTGCACCCCCCCCCCCCCCCCCCCCCACCTTTTGCACCTCTTCCCAAACAGGAGGGTAGAAGTCACATGTTTAATTATCTAGCACAGTGAATACAGCAGTATTCTGCAACAGCAAGTGTCTAAACTAGTAGAAGTCCCTAAATTTGAAATGTCATTTAACACGAAGAAACATCGCACAGCCATGGCAAGACAAGCATGCTACCACGTCAGTTAGATAAGTGTAAACAACTAATGCAAAGGGTAGCTCTACCTAGGCCAGCAACTAAAAACAAACAAAATCAGGGAACATTACCTCAATGTCTTCTGAAAAATCTCTTTCTCTGGATCCCTGCTCCTCTCACATGTTGCTTTCATTGTTTGCAAGTATTTGATCATGCTAGCAAAACAGACATCAAAAGGTTGAAGTACACATCTGAGAAATAGTGTGCAGCAACATGAACAACAAAAAGAATACATTTCTATGGCTATTTTATTCGTACTCATTATGGTAATTCTGGATCTCTAAATAGTGCTCTTTCTTAGCAGTCTTAAGAGCCTGCTCCTGACGGAGAATGACATCAGGGTGAAGATTACCTGCACAAAGTGAACTACTCCTGCAAACATGACAATGAGACAAATATAGTAACTTAAGCCACAATCATTATCATAAACGTAAGTATTAATGAGAAGCAGTTCCAGTAGTCTGAATAGGGCAAGCAGTAAAAGATCCAAACACAATTGCGGAGTGGTGCAATATCATTGATTGCTAGATAACATTGACAGGTGAAAGTAAAGATGCAATGAAGTATAACCACAATGCAAATGAAATTTTGCCAAACTGAAGCAGGAAGATAATCTTTCTTTGCCACGTCAATAGATGGATGGCTCTAGCCAGTAATGAAGTAGTAAATACTAATACTAAGTGCAAGAGGCGAGAAAATGATGTTAAGAAACACAATAGTGCCGATCAACTAGAGGACAGAGATCATTCTACCGCATGGAAACCTTAATTCTACCATATTTTCTCAAATGAGAGCCAAGAGATAAGCGCTTAAAAACCATTATAATAAGACAGAAACTCATTGTCAAAAGGGTTGGATAACAAATCAATACTTGCCAGTCGACAAAAGGATTTCCAAAATGGAAGTTCTTCCCAGAAAGTAAATCATCCACAATTTCTTCTGCATCCACACCCATAGGTAGAAATTTCACAAGAAAGTTTCTCTCTTTCACTGACAAGTAAGACTGCCACACCTGAGTGAATTTGCACATAATAGGAAATGTATGATAAATAACACAGAGAGACATCTGAGGAAAAGCAAACAACAAAATTCAATTATATTATCAATACCTTGGGGGAGAGAACTTCCATCAGATTCTCCAATTGAAAGACTTCTCGAGGAACAGTAACAACGTCGGCTATGCCATTTGGACTTGCCGGTTTAGCAGAAAGCAAAACTGACCTCAAATCTCTCTGGTGTATGCCTATTTGTTCCCTTTTGGCAACAACCCTCTTTTGGTGGTTGTCCCACTCAAGGGATATATGAGATTTTGTATTTAAATCATTTTTTAAAGGTTCATATTTCTTCTTTTTCCCTCTGGGCTGCTCCCAGGAACTGCAACCAGCAACATTTGTACCGTTGAGACGTTTTCTCCAATGATCAGCTGCCATTGGCATAGGACATCAATAACCTCCACAAGCTACCAAATCAACCGCTTGGTCCATTTGAGAGCTGAAGAATCAAATCAGACATACAGTGCAATTATCACTAATCCAAGCACTACATAGTAATATTACATTATTCAGCTATGACCTACCAGCATATGGCGAATGACAAATGAAACGAGATAAAATGACAACTACAGCACCAAAAAATAATCTTTCCAAAAAAGTACACCTTTGCAAGTTTATCTTTATGTCCTTATATGGGGGATCTACGAAAGAAGAGAAAGTTCAGCATAAATTTTGAAACTACGATCTGCAAACTAGACCCTCGATTACAATTGCAAGAAGAGTACTGTTTACTCTCATAAATTTATCAGCTTCCTACCTCTAAACCATGATGTGCTCATAGGGAGTTAGTGGAGAATTCATCACCTTATTATAAACAAAAAATTACAAGCTCATCATTTACCTGGCCTACATTAAAAGAAAGAAGATAACAAGGCCATAAGGACCATGTTTCAAGTTTTAATAAGGTTCCATGATCTAATTGTAACTAACTACATTGGAGGCCAACTTGATAAAAAAATCCAATCGGAAGCCATCAATCGAAACTGGAAATGGAAAGGGCAATGGCGAAGCCGGCAGCAGCAGATATCTGCTACTTCCATGGCAACAAAGCTGAACCTGTCTTCTCCACTCTCCCTCCAACCCTCTTCCTTCACACAAATTCGCCATAAGATAAGAGGACTTCGCAACTTATCGAGTCTAAATAGCTAATTCGAACGGAAAGGGAGAGAACACAAACTATTCAAGGACTCGTGCGGAGCCACATGGAATGAGTGACAAATCGCATCAAACAGCATGCAAACCAAACGAATTAAAACAAAGCAACCGAAGGCGAAGAACGATTGGGACGCAAAACCAGCACTATATAAAGAATGCAGAGAAATAACCCATGAAAATAAGAAACGAATGACCACGTCAGAGATAAGAACTCACCATCTTTGCAAAGGAAGGCAGGATAGGAGACAAGGAATGATGCACACAATTCGTGGGGCAGGGCTCGCGCTCCCGCTTTAGAGCGCGAAAACGCGAATCTAAAGGATTTCGTATAAAATTCGTGAATTATTACTTGTTGGGGCGCGGATTTTGTAGGGAAATTGGCGAATCTATTTCACGAATACAGAACGAAGAGGATGTGTCGGCGAAGGTGACTGTCGATTGGTTAAAGAGATGAAATCGTTGGTGGGATTGATGAAGGAAGCTGGAACAAGGTCAGAGTTTCTGGGATTGGTGGAGGAAGCTGGAACAAGGTCGGAGGGCTAAACACAAGCTGCGTTGCCTGGGAATCGATGGAGTTCGGCGTGGCGTGGGAGTTTTGGCCCTTTGGATAAGAGTAGATAGGCTTGAAGACGGGATTGAGAAGGGAAGCTTTTGCAGTTTTGCTGAAGGACGCAGGGGACTTCGTCGTCTAGGTTTTGAGTTTTGAGTTGCGAGTTGCAATAACTCGAATATTCAGGGCTTCAGCGGCCCAGTAGTTTAGGTCCAATAGCTTTTTTTTTTATTGAGTTCCAATAACTATTTATATGAGGTATGATAGTATATAGTGAAAAATTCAGTATATAATAAACAATATTTTAATTGAAATAATATGATATTTAAAAAATTACTAAAAAATAAATTATATTTCGACGGTGTGAAAATATATTTCTTTCATTTTCTCTTGACGAATCAGTAACCTAAAATAGACGCTAAGTAGAAGATGTATATAAATCACAAATAAGGAAAATACCTTTTGTCTTTAATTAAATAACAGATCTTTACGAGCTAATTAAGTTTAAGGTGGTGGATTATGATGGCTGGACTTTTAACTCAACTAGCATCTTGTCTGTTCGGTCCATCATCCATGACTTGTTTTCTGTAAAGTGAAGGTCCAGTGCCCCGGCCAATAGGTTGCATACTCGATTGGAGGGAGTCAAAAACCAATCCAAACTCAAGACTGTGTTCTTGATGCTGCTCACGACTGGACGATGTATAAAAAATACGACACTTGCTACTTTGACTTATTTCGTCACAATAACTGAAAATTATCAAATAATTAAAAGTCGTTCAATTAAAACTTCCATTATTTTAGTTTAAAAAATTACTATACTCCTACAAAAAGTATTATCCAATTCTTCGGATAAACAAACTGAAGATTTATCATCCGATCAACAAAAAATAATTAACAGCAAATTTATCACGCAAATCATGCCTTAAAATCAAATGAAATCATAGTTTCACACAGATTTCCCTCCTAAGAGAGAGGGAAAAGAAAGAAGAAGAATTTTTTTTTTTTTTACAAAAAGAAGGATAGAACATGACGCCGTTTTTGTCCTTCCACAAAGTCTCTGTCTTACAAGTCAACGGACTAGTCCTAAGTCCTACTGCCCTTTCTTCCGCTTGCCGTCTCCGCTTTCCCTTCACTTTCGCACTCCGCGGCATCTTCAACGGGCGCCGGCGGGAAAGAAAGAAAAAGGAGAAACAATTTTTAGATGGCGGCGGCGAAGATTGCTCCGTCGATGCTGTCCTCGGACTTCTCAAATCTAGCGACAGAGGCTCAGCGGATGCTCGATTGCGGCGCCGATTGGCTTCACATGGACATCATGGTACATCCTTCCTTCTTCTTACTTCCTTCAATGTCTCCGTCTTCTCCTATTACGATCGGCTATGTATCGCGAAATAATTGAGTTTCCATCGTCTCTTCTGCAGGATGGGTACGTTGGAAAGTTACTTGGTCTGGGAAATGACCATTTTTCTGGTTCAATTTCTTTTCACCTACTTTTTACCCCATGCTGTTCATCCAAGCTCTTATGTCGAATTTGTTGATCACCCCGTATCAATCTGTCTGTCCATTTATCTGGGTTTGTTTTTGTTCTACTTGGAGCTTCTCCTTAAGATAAAAAGATCCTTGCTTGGAATGGAAATGGAGAATTCGTTCAGTTATTCGATGTTTTGCTTTGACTGTCCGTGCTAGGGTTCAAGCGGATGAAACAGTGTTGTGCCACGAAATTGGAATTTATGTTTGTCTGCATCCCAATCAAACTTGGTCTATTCTTGGGTATGAATTGTCCTGATAACTCGAGTAGTTGAGATCGTATTATGAGTCTTATCCTAGCTAGTGCCTGTTGTTCCCTATATAATTACTTGCATAGACAAGGGATGAGGTAAGGAGGAAGGGCGGAATTTTAACTCATCTAGACAGTTCATACCATAAGCTTGTATTAGGGATGGAAGTAACGAACTTGCTTGATTTAGAATCTCATTTCATGTTACTTCTCTATGCTGATTAAACATTTGAATTTCTGATGAATCCTGTCTCTTGGTAGTTGATGCTGATTTCGAGTGGCTAGGTGCTAAATTTTTCATCTTCTTGTAGCCACTTCGTTCCAAATCTAACCATTGGTGCTCCGGTGATTGAGAGCTTGAGGAAGCACACCAAGTAACATCTTTTATCCCCTTATGATGGCTTTCCCAATCTCTTAACAACGCATAACAGCTAACAATCTTAATCCTCTTCTTCATTTTTGTTCTCTTTCAGGGCATACCTAGACTGCCACCTGATGGTCACAAACCCTCTTGATTATGTTGAGCCTTTCGGTAAAGCAGGTGCTTCAGGATTTACATTTCACATTGAAGCTGCCAGAGGTTGGTGATTGTTCTCCATCGTACGATTCTTTCCCTCTTCTCTCTTTCGCCGTCTCAATTGTATGGTAGTCAGTAATATAACTTCTTCTTGCAGAAAATTGGAATGAACTGATTCAGAAAATAAAAGCTAAGGGCATGAAGCCTGGTGTGTCGCTGAAACCTGGAACTCCCATCGAAGAGGTTTATCCTCTGGTAAGCATTTCTTCTTTACTAGGATGTATTTCCAAGAAACCAACACGAGTTACAAATGCATTATGATTCTTTCCTATTTAAACCTGCAGGTTGAAGGTGAAAATCACGTTGATTTAGTCCTTGTGATGACTGTGGAACCTGGTTTTGGAGGACAGAAATTCATGCCTGAAATGATGGATAAGGTGAACTTAAGTCCATAAATCCTCACTGTAATATCTTATCTCTTATCTCCTCCCTTGATGTGGAGACAATATTTTTTGCACTGTGGTTTTAGGTGCGGAAGCTGAGACAGAAGTATCCATCCCTTGATATAGAGGCCAGTCACTCTCTCTTTCTTGGCCCGATTGCATCATTCCTCTGCTTCCTGTTGCCATATGATCCTAACTCAGTCTCAAATGTAATCAACTTTGTCCTTGCAGGTGGATGGCGGGTTAGGTCCATCAACTATCGATGCAGCAGCATCAGCCGGAGCAAACTGCATTGTGGCAGGGAGCTCGGTGTTTGGCGCTCCTGAGCCAGCCCAAGTAATATCCCTCATGAGAAATCGAGTGGAGGGAGTGAAAGCTGCCTGGTAACTGGAGATTAACCAGAGCACATTCATGAGTATTGTACATTACTACCTGACTGTTGTGTCCCGTTTTGGGGGTTTGGCCTATCACGCCATTGTTGTTGTTGTCTGTCTCTTGCATTCCATGCCTCCATGTTCATGATCTATAGAAATAAACATGATATTTAAGGGTGAGCGATGTTCAACCCATACCAGATTGAATTAAATCAGATCATATATAATTCGATTTTTCATTCTCTAGTTTTTGGTTTCGATCTCTGAGTGTCTTCATAAAGCAAATAAAAAAACTCAAGATTAGATGTGCTTTTTATCTGATATCGTTTTTCGTTCCAATATTTTTGATTACGACTTATTCTTGACCAAATGGAATCATGCCTCTCTAAGTTGATGATCGAATAAAGTTTTTGTTTTTCTCATAGTATATGAATATGATCATGCAATATTGGTATGGATGTATTTGTTTATAACATCTGTAAAGTGCACGTGAGGGACACTCGTGCCTGTGACTCATTCTCTTGGCCATATCAAAGCAACAGGGGGCATTGATCTCTAGATGGAATCAAATTGAGAAAAATAGATCTTTTGTGGTGATAGCAAAAAATGCAGAGTCCAATGCCCATCACGAGTGGTCACGTGCCAATGCTCAAAAAGGCCTTTTTGCATAGTTTTGTTTTCTGTGAACCTTTGGAACTCCAAGGAATGTTCATATGGGAAATCGTTGGAGTTAGGGCCTAGGGGTGGAAGTTTGGTTTATGGGTATTTTGGAACTAGGAAGGAATGTTCGTATGGGAAATGGTTGGAGTGATTGGTGCATGGTGGTGCCAATTCGATTTAGAATGGGGTGAATTAGTATAGAGTTAGATGAAACATGAAGGGAAGATAAGAATCAAAACTATCATAAAATACATTTGATTTGATTAAATTATTTTTCGTTGAATCAGTTTGATTTGATTATGTTTGATTCTTATTTATCTAGTTCAAAGGTCTCCACCGTAAGAAATAGGATTAGCATTGTTGTTATAATCATCTTCAAAGACAGAGTAGGTATATTTTACATGTGCAAACGGCATTGTAGACTATATAGTTTATACCGATTTTTTCATCAAAATCATAAAATTGTATTGGGATCAAGGGCGTACCAAAAGCATACACCTCTAAAATTGGGGTCAGGGGAATTATCGACCGCATGTAATAGTTTTGGTTAGGTGAAAAGAAAAAATTGGTGGTAGTTTCTATGATTTAAAATTATATTGCAACAAAACATTTCGAGTGTCTATTCCCCTTCTCACATTCTTTTTCAGTCGTTCGTGATGCCCCCTCCAATCCAACCATCAGCAGTCAACCTCTGTTCGCCGACTTCTACTTCTCATGTCCTTTATGCTCCAACTCTTTAGTGCCACCACATTCCTCTTCTGCAAACTCCGTTGACTCCGTCCTTATGGTGAAACTCGACTACATCGACTGTTGTGTCGTCGTCTTCCAAACTATGAAAACACATTGTGATATTTTGTTGTAATTTGTAGTGTTTAGATATTTTCTATTCCAAGAAATTATATTTATAAATTTTTATTCTTATTTTAATTAAATTTTCGAAAGAGAATATCTCTAGATAAAATTCCTGGTCTGCCACTTATTGGGATGTACTATTTTAAGTAAACCCAAACAAGATCTTGTTGTTTCTTACGTCTTAATTAACCAACACAACATTTTCCAACAAAATTTTAACCACGATCTTAGTATCTAAGTCGAAACTTGATCACTTTTTTACCAAATACATCTCAATGGCAAATAAATAATAATTACGTTGGTCAAGAATTTCGTATAGGAACCATCATTGGAAGGCAAGACTCTTGTTGGGGACAAGAAACAACGTAAATGCGAGGATGATTCGGATTCATCATGGCAATGCTTTGTCTAGCTTCTAAAATTTATGGGGTCAGTTACACAAAGTCACAAACGACCATTTAACTTTGGAGTCATTAATAAATAGGCCATTCAACTTTAACTCTTAACAAAGTTGTCCCTAAAATTCGAATAACCCACGTAACAATTACTTTGTCTTTCTCATTTAATTTTCTTCTGTAATCATCTAGGCTAGCGAGCTAACTTAACCAAATTACTTATAGAAATGAATGAATACAAACCCTGATTATTTGGCATGGACGATCAAATTTAAGTCGTATTGGCTCTAGATTCTTACCCAATCCTACTTGATATTATCGCAAACTACTCTAATTCCTCTCCCCTTTCCTGCTCGATAACTTACTACATGGTTAAGCAAAGACCTTTTATATGATTAATTTGAGTGGTCTAACACAAAGATATTGACAAATTGGGCACATAATATGTGAGGGCTTACCGTTAACTATGAAATTCCAAACTTCGACAAAATATATACCATATATATATAGAGAGAGAGAGGAAAGTATAGTTGAATGTCTGGTTTGTTAATACTAGAAGGTCGATGACTGTTTACGTAATTGACACTTTTCTTTCCTAGAGAAATCATGGCCCTAGGCTAGGCTGACTAATCAATCTCTTCCTAGCCTCAACTTTCACCATGCAAGGTTGCCATCAACTTCATCTCGAATAATCTATGAAGTTTATGATTTCCCTACTGTCAATCGAGCACATCAAGAAGGTAAATCCCAAAAAAAGAGAATAAACAAAGAGGTATAGGCATAGCTTATAGCTATGTTCGAGGTTCATGAACAAGAGAGGGGAAATGAAGGAAGCTAGGGTAGCTCCTCGAGTTGCTCTAGTAATTATTCTTGTTTATGAAATTATCAGCATGAAAGAACAAGAGAGCTAATTGTTTTTCGGAGGGATTAGTTGTTCTGGTCGGTTGGCCAAAATTTCTTATTATTATCCTCATTAATGTATTCGTGCAAGCAAACATTCCAAAAATTTGTTACTGTGATGCTTTGTTGCTGTGTTATAATAATGGATTAAGGGGTTTGTAGATGTGCTCGTTTGTTTGTTGGAAATATGAACGGTTTTAGTTTTGGAAATCGTTGAATTTATGATGGATTTATTTTATTTTGTATTTGAAAGATAACATTATTTGTTTAGTTGATTTTGATCATGGATTTAAAGATTTTTGTACCATCGACCTCAAATCCTTACCTTCAATGACCAAATACCAAATGAAATGTGGTATTTGCAAATACGTGGGGTCCATGGATTTGGGGCTAAAAAATGTCCAAATCAGTGGGCTTCACGGATTTGTATAGCTCAGCAAACAATGTTTTTAGATCAAACACGTAATGCTTTGTATTTGGGTGCCAAATACATCATTAAAATCCCACAAGCAAACGAAACCTTAGTTTTCCTAACAACTTTTATTTTTTGTTGGTACGAGTTGTCGACTTTATAATGAGTAATTAAACGATAAAAAATTTCTACTTTCATCATTTTGCATGAAATTTAGCTACGTATTCATTATTATAATCATTCATCCAAAGGATCCATATAAGTACCAAGTTCTGTTTTTTTTTTTATTGTTTGGGATAATTACGAGTTTACTAGGCCACATGACCATGATGTTTCACTCTTACACATACACATGATGGTGATGGACTCGTATTAAATTTGTAATCGATACCAACTTAGATAGATAAGCACACTTTGAGGTATAATGACCACTTAGTAAAAGTTTGCAATTGATATCAAGTCTGGTTGCTTTCAATCAACAATCTATTGAGTGAGGCATGCTCTCATAAATGATTCACATAACTTTACTCTTATCGAACAAGTTATGAGAGACTAAGGAGCCATCACAAATAAAATAATAATCAATTGATACGAGTTATTCACATAGGAGCACTTCTACTATGCTATATAGTATTGGTGCTTTAATGTACAACTTGAAGTTGTACCATAATATTAAATGTACAAGTTTAGATTGTACCATAAAGGAATTTGTATTATTATGTTATGGTACAACTTTACAACTTGAAGTTGTACCATAACATAATGTACACGTTTAAGTTGTACCATAAAAGAATTTGTACAAAAAGTATAGGTACAATATGAAGTTGTACCATAACATTACGGGTACAATTTCAAGTTGTATCATAAAGGTAAAAACATATAGCACCAATGCTATATAGCATTGTAAAATTCCTCATTCACATAGGGGCAAAAATCAACATAAATTCGTAATCTCGCATGAACTTATTGTATTTCAAATACATCATTTACACATGCACTTAAAATAATGAACCAATTAAATAATAAAACTAACCCATCAGATGTTATGCATTCTGTTGTCCACTGTGATCTGCACATTCATCTACACATAAAAATCGTGGTCCTCTTTTTATAAATTTGGATAACTCCTTGTTCAATACATCTATTTTTTGACTATCGTTAAAGTGCACCTCTCTAACTACGAAACTCATTATTCAACTAAATAATCTTCCCCACAACAGAATTTCACACCATTTACAACATATTTGTGTACTCTTCTCAATAGTCAATAACACACCATTCAAAATCATAACTTCCAATGTTGTACCTTTTCTGTAACTTGCCTCCCTTGTCCTTCCCATCAAACACCTATATATAAATCCCACCACGCTCCCATAAAATCCCCCATTCCAAAACCTCCCCTTTCCCATCCCCAATACCTCTGTTCTATAAACAAAAGCTTTTGCATTCCACTTCCACCTCTACACCACCATCTTTTGTTAGTTTGTACAGAACTACAGATCCAAAAACCCCTCTCACCCAAAAAACCAATCCAAAGTAGTCTTAAAGAAAGCAAATTAGGGTTACCACTTAGCACTAGCCAGCCAGCAGTAGCCTCTTTTCCAGCATAATATTAAAAGAAGTCTGAGACCCATTTATAAAAAATTCAAGTTATGGTAACTGCAGCCCTTCTTTTGTCCTGTTTCCCCTTCCTCTTCTCTTCCCTTGTAATAGCAATCCTTCCTCAAACATCTCCCAATCTCAAGACCTGCAATTCTTCTTCTTCTTCATGTGAGACATTTGCTGTTCTTCACACAAATCCATTCTTCTCTTCTCTCTCGAACTTAACCCTCTTCCTCAATCTCAACCGTGTCGCCATTTCCGAAGCGAATGAGCTCCCTCCCAAAACAGAGTATTTCAAAAAGGACCAGTCTTTGCTCATCCCATTGACCTGCAAGTGCTCTAAAGGCGGTTTCGAAGCTGAACTCGTGAAAACGACGGTCAAAGGCGACAGCTTTTCCTCCATTGCTGGTTCTCTAGAAGGACTGACGAACATTGATGGAATCAGGGCGAGGAACCCAAATGTGGGGCCATGGAATCTCGGCGAGAAAGCTCGGATCTTGATCTCGTTGAGATGCGGTTGCCCTGAAGCGCCATTGGATAAAGCTCGAATCTTTCTCACTTACCCTGTTCTTCCAGGTGATTCCATCTCCACCCTTTCGATAAAATTCAACGCTTCCCCTGATTCTATAGTCTCTGCGAATCCCCAGTTGCAGGCGAAACTCCAGCCGTTCACCTCCGTTCTGATCCCGGTCACCGGGAAACCTCACATTCTCTTCTCCAATTTCCGGCTCCGTCGAAAGAAAATGCGGCGGAAGGTGGGAATGTACGTGGCCGTGATATGCGGTGTGATTCTCGGGTGCATCGCAATTGCAGGGGGAGTCTTCGTGGCGTTGATGCAGCTCAAGAAGAGGGAAGCCCAGAAACAGGGGAGCCAGCTAGGGAAAAAACAGAGATCGAAGGATGCTGACGTGGAGCTCCAGCAGCTGAGCTTGAGCGTCCGCACGACGAGCGACAAGAAAGTATCGTTCGAGAGCTCGCAGCCCGACACCGTGGAGCTTAATCATCACCATAGCCAGATCGTCGAGGCCACTACGCCGCGGCAAAAGAGGACGATTTTGGAGAGCTACACGGTGGAGGAAATACAGAGGGCTACAGAGGATTTCGATTCGGGGAATCACATCCAAGGGAGCGTCTACCACGGCCGGCTCAACGGCAAGAACATGGCGATCAAACGGTTGAAATCGGAACACGTGTCGAAGATCGAGTTCGGGATATTGAGCAATCCAACTCACCATCATCCTAAGATCCTCAAGGTCTTGGGGACTTGTTTGAGTGAAGAAGGGTCGGATTGGTCGTACCTAGTGTTCGAGTATGCCAAAAATGGGTCCTTGAAAGATTGGCTCCATGGAGGGTTGGCCATGAAAAATCAGTTCATCGCGTCGTGTTACTGTTTTTTGACGTGGGATCAGAGGCTCAAGATAAGTTTAGATGTGGCCGTTGGGTTACAATACATGCATCACATCATGAGCCCTTGTTATGTCCATATGAAGTTAAGGAGCAGGAACATTTTTCTCGATGAGGAGTTCAACGCGAAGATAGGAAATTTTGCCATGGCGAAACTCGTTGAAGAAGATGATAAGATCGATAACGATTATCTGGCTCCTGAGTACGTGAAGCAAGGTATGATCTCTCCGAGTATTGACATTTTCGCATACGGTGTTATTTTGCTTGAGGTTTTATCGGGCAAAACGGCGATAGCAAGAGGAGATGGAAAGGGGGAAGGGCATGTGAAGCTTTGTGAGAGCGTAAAGAGAGTATTGACTTCGGAGAATGATGTTGAGTTCAAGGAATGGATCGATGGCGTGTTGGGTGATAGCTACCCTTTCGATGGGGCTCTAGCATTGGCCAATCTGGCGAAAACATGTGTCGACGAAGACTCGAATTTGCGACCAAGTGCGGGAGATATAGTCGAGAAGCTCTCTGCATTGGTCGAGGAATCGAGCACGGGAGAAGGAGGGGAGAGCAGCAATGTGTTGTTTAGTGAGAGCTCTAGTAAGCCTCTAGTGAAAGCTGCCGCAACATAAAGTATAGTGGCCATGAATGGGAGTGTGGAGTTTGTGTGATTAGTGATATGATTATTTGATGGGAGAAAGTTGAGAGTGATCATGTGTTTTCTTTAGTTTGTGGCAATCCTTAATTATGAGGTGAGGATTTTGGTTGTAGATATGTAATGGTCAATGCATATGCATGATAGATATAGTTGGATGAATTGGCTTCTTCAAATATGATAGATCTCTATCGTCTCGTGTTTGGAGGTTCATGTCACTTAATATTGTCAATAAATCAAAGTTTATTCAGCAATATAAGATTATAGATACTCATATAATCTATATTTCAATGATTAAAACGAGACAGAAAGAAATAACACTAAAAAAGAATCATATAAACCACTAGATACATCTATCTGTCTCTTCCCAATCAAAGAAGATGAACAAAGAATAATTATTTCCACCCACAATGCCCCCCAAAAAATCAACATATTTACACACTGACGAAGTCACGACATCATGACCTTGAACTCGTCGAAATCCAACGCCCCGTCGCCGTCGAGATCGAACTCGGCGATCATAACCCCACACTCCGTCGCGCTCCGCCGCATCCCCAGCCGGCTCAACATCCTCTTCAAGCTCCTCGGCGTTATCAATACTCCACCGCCGTCCCCTGCCCCCGCCGCATACATTTTGAACGCCTCCTTCAAATCCTTGACCCGCTCCTCCTCCTCCCCTGCCTCCACCAGCCTCACGAAATCCTCCAAATCCAGCAGCCCGTCGCCGTCCGAGTCAGAAAACCCCACCGCCGCCTCCGCCTCCTCCTCCGTTAGCTCCCCTGCTCTCCCTCCTCCTCCTCCGCCGTTGCTGCCGATCGCCGCCACGCACCGGCGCAGCTCCGAGCCAGATATCTTCCCGTCGCCGTCCTCGTCGAAGTGGGCAAACACCCGCTTGTACTGCTCGTGCTTGTCAATTGCATTCCCTGCCGCCACCATTTGCTGAAGTAAGTTATCTGATTCGCTTGCGAAATGTGTGGAAATAAAGTTCTCTCTCGGGAGTTGGAATTTGCGTTTGGAAGTTCTGGTGAAAGGGTTGGGCTCGTTTGTTGGGGGATTTATACGAGCCAAACGCGGCGGTGACGCGTGGCGTGAGTTGACCGGCTTGTGGTGGGTTGGAGAAAAAGAAAGCGCGGGGGTGATTAGTGGATATAGGTGGGAAGGATTAATTGATTAATTAACCAGCGAGAGATTGTTTCTGTGTCCAGAGAGAGTCATTAATGAGGGGGTTGATATTTAATTTTTTGTCATTATTAAGGAACGGGAAGGCGCCAGGAAAGAGGGCTGTTTGATTAGGCCGTTTTTTTTTCTTTCTTTCTTTGTCTGGCAGAGCCGACTAATGAAGAAAGTCGGTACCTAGAAGAAGATACTATTAGATTATTTTCTGTTGGTTTATTTATTTAGCAACCGTCAAAACGGTCTCGTTCACTTGTTTAGATTTCATCATCATCATAAGAGGGAGATTACGTTTGACATTTTGGAATGGGGGAGGTTGGTGACTGGTGAGTGATTATTGAGTTAGAAATTTGTTTTAAAGAGGGTGATATAAGTTCAACTTTAGCGTTAATTAGGTGCTACTCCAAATATTTGATTTTGTAACCTTTAAGTTAAGGATCAATATGGTAGAATGATCAAAGACCAATCTCTTGCAATGTAGTCAAAATTACGCTTTAAGGTTAAAAATTTACGCTTTTACATTAATTTCTAGGTCACCGTTACCCTTCTACATAGAATCATGTTTTTTGCTTACAAGTGTAGTCAAAATATATGCTTAAAATCTTAAAGACCTGCACTTTTACACTTCTAAATCACCAAAACAATTCTACGTGGAATCACAATATTTTACTGCATTAATCTATTTCTTGTTCCAATAAATTTGTTCTTTTGTAGTTACAAGGGTCAGTTGGTTATTTGCAATAACACCCCATTGAAATTTTACCCCTTCATAACAACAACAAGGTTCTATAATGTAGCGATTTTATATTAAAAAAATATCATTTCAAAGTAAGTGTTTAGCTCGTGATTTTTATCGACTTTCTTATTAGCATGCATGAAACTGAACAATAACGTTCGGCTCATTTGCATCCCTACTTGGATCCATAAGTTTTGAATAGATAAATGTTTGAGCCCGATCGACTGGGGGTCGCTCGGGTCCAAGGGGTTTGGGGTGTCAGCCATGACCTTGAAAGGGTAGGCGCCCCTCCTCGTCCGAAGCAGAAGAAAAGGAGAAGTATGTAGAGAGGGAAAGTAGAGAGAAGATAGAGTAAAGAGTAGATGATCTTATTTATGAGGAGAGAACTCCTATTTATACACAATTGAGAGTTAGGTAGTGGTCTGGGCGCCTGCCAAGCCATAAATGCTCTGGTCGGGCGCCTCAGACTCTCTGACACTGTTCATAGTCCTTTTGGCAGAGGGTGTCCCCCTGCCCCTTGTCCTTGCTGACGTCAGGTGCCTGGGCTTGTCCCCTGTTCTCCAGCCTTGTCTTTTTCCTCTTGTCTTCTTCCCTTCTCCATGTCATTAGCCATGGTATCAATTCCTTAGTCACTATGATACCCTATCAATTGCCCCTTTTGGTGATGACACAAGCAGTGTGGCATCGGCAAACAAGTATGTTCTAAAAAGGTCTAAGATAAATAAATAAATAAATAAATAAATAAAAATAAAATAAAACAAAATAAGATCAAGAATGAAAAACAGTTGAAAAAATAAATAAATAAATAAATGAAAAAAATAAATAAGACAAAATAACCCTAGACGGGGGGTGCCACGGTATGAGAAACAGGGGGGGGGAGGGCAAAGATGCTACCCTAAACAGACTGCTTATTGCGCTTTTGGGCCAAGCCCAGCGCGGGAATGAGACTGGCGACTTGGAGATGGAGTTAGGGGGAGTGGAGTGGATTTTGGGTTACCCACCTCGTAAACAGTGCGCCTCTCTCTTCTCCCTTATATAAACATGCCTTCCCTCTTGTTTTCCTCCTCCCCCTTTTTTCTTTTCACTTCAGCCGCCCCCTTCCTTTTCCTCTCTCTCCCTTTCTGGCGGAAGGCGCCTCCCCCTTTTTTCTTTTCACTTCCAGCCGCCCCCTTCCTTTTCCTCTCCCTCTCTCTTTTTGGCGAAAGGCGCCTCCCCCCTTTTTTCTTTTCACTTCCAGCCGCCCCCTTCCTTTTCCTCTCCCTCTCCCTTTTTGGCGAAGGACGCCTCTGCCTTCTTCGCCGGCGCCTCGCACCGCCGCTCTCCCTCTCCCTTTCCGGCGGAAGGCGCCTCTGCCTTCTTCGCCGGCTCCTCGCACCGCCGCTCTGCTTTTGCTTGGAAGACGCGCTCCCCTCTGCCCCCTTCGACTCGGTGCCCACGCTGCTTCCCCTTCGGCGCCTGCTTCGCAAAGGCGCCTCCACCCTCTTGATAGCACGCCCCGCGCCGCTTCCTCCTTTATCTGGCCGGCGCCTCTTGCTTTCCTCGGCGCCCTTCTTCGCGAAAGCGCCTCCTCTTCCGGGCGACATCCTGCTTGGCTCGCTCTCCTGTGTTCATCAGGTACGTGTTCTTCGGATTTGAATGGTGGCGCCTCCGGTATATGCTTTTGAATTGGAAGGAGGCGCCTTCAGTTACTGCTTATGACGATTCGATTAGGATTTGTAAGAAAGCCCTTTCGATTGTCACGTCCAATTAGGGTTTATGAGTAGGTGCCTTCAACCATTTCCCCCGATTAGGATTTGTGGGTAGGTGCCTCCAATTATTCCCGCTTGAATAGCCGAAGTTTGTAAGAAAGCCCCTTCGATTATTATGTCCAATTAGGGTTTATGAGTAGGCGCCTCCAATTAGGATTTGTGGATAGGCGCCTCCGATTGGGATTTGTGGGTAGGCGCCTCCGATTATTCCCGTTCGAATAGCCGAAGTTTGTGTTCACGTGCTAGGCGCCTTTCATTTCATTATTCTTCTGCTTTTGCAGGTGCCGCTTCTCCGAGCTTCGGAAGTGTTTCTGCCCTTTTAACCCAGGTGGATTTTGCTCCTTGCTTTTGGTGTAGTATTTTGGTTTTTGCTAAGCGCCTTGGTTTTGTTCGCCACTTTATGGTCGAGTTATTTTTGCTCATGGTGCAGACTCTGATTCAAGGCGTCCCTAGGCGCCTCATTACTAGTGGTTACGGGTCGCTATAGCGGTTTCTTGCCCGCGCGTTATCGGCTTAGGCGTTGTACACGCTTCTCTTCCAGGGTTAACTTCGCTGCTCACCACTCACTCATGGCTTCCAATAATTCTCAACCTTCTGCGTCTATGGGTGGCGCCCCTGCCTCCAAGAAAGGAAAGGAGAAGGCATCCTCAAGTAAAGTTAGGAAGATGGGTAAGTTACGCTTTCTCCATCTCGTTAACCTTAATATCATATATATTTGCTGTTTGGGAATCTTAGCGGATCAAACAGTGTATAGACGATCCAAGTGGAGACTCGCCGAGATTGCTAGTGACATCGAGGATGATCAATCATACACCCGCCAGGAGGTGCTTACTGAGGATGATACGTCAAGTGCGGACCCCGACCCTCGCCCGTCTTCTTCTCGGACGGTTACCGATTCAGGTTATACGATTTTACCATGGCGGGGGATGTGGGGTGGTGAGGCGCCTCCCTCTTCGGCGCGCCTACTGGGTCCTGACAAGCGGCCCAGCATTCAACTTCATCGTGTTATGACTTATATCCGCGGCCTAGGTTACCCTACGGACTGGGGATATGCGATTCCGGATCGCCATGCTCGCATCGGGAGTTGCCCCGAGGGTTGGTTCGCGGTTTACTCGGAGTATCTAAAGTGCGGTTTGAAGTTCCCATTGGATCCTATCTTGTCGGGTATTTTGGAGATGGTCGGATGTCCTCCTAGCTTTCTGTCCCCTTCGCTTATCTTTCACACTTGCGCCTTCAGGCTCATCTGTAAGCGCTTAGGCTACATCCCTTCATTCTCTATCTTTCGTAGCATATATGCACTGGAGCGGGGTAAGCATGGTT